TTTCAATATTTTTTCGGTAAATGATATGAGATATTCAAAAAAACAAAGTTGTAGCATGAGTGTGGTTTCCTGAAGCAACATGATTTATTGTTTCAGGATCGAGGAATTTTTTTGTATGTTCTGGTTCTCACGAAAAGGGATATCCTGTAATGTTCAGAGAACATCGTGTCAAGCAAGGGAAATAAGGTAGGAATTGGTGTTCTTCTAGGATTTCTGGAGATTATTTGCCTCGGGGAATACCTCCCTTGGCAATGTGTTCCAGAGCCTCGCTGTTCGTTGGATGAACGAGTCTTATTTGGAAAGCGATGTTCTGCAGGTATCCAAAGTGACTGCGAAGAGGTGCGAAGCCTCAACTCGACAGATTAATCTCGCGGGGACTGCCAAGGGAGGAACAATTGTCGATATTTCAGAAGAGCATCGTCCATGAAAATATCTATAAAATAGAGCCAGATCGCCAACTTTTCTACGGTGTTCCACAGAAGTTAGTGAGTTTGTGAGGTATCACCCAGTCAAAATATGGGAACAGTATTCCAGGACAGGTAGGATCTCTGCCTTATAGATCATAAGCATCTCACTGGAAGTGAAATAGTTTCTGGTCCGTCGACCACTGCATGGAGAGACCTGTTTGAGAGAAAACTAGCTAGCAGAGAACATAGCTGGGGAAGCAAGCCATAAGATGGATGCTTGGCGAGGAGTCGTGGTGCCAGACTCGATCGAATGCCTTGGAGATATCAAGTGTCACGGCTAAGGTTTCACTTATGTGAGACGTAAGCGAGCAGGTCACCAGTTGATTTCTGATGGTGGAAGCCATATTGCCTATCGTTGATAATACCTGAATGTTCCAGGTATTTCATGAGCTCGATGTTGATAGCATTTTCCATGATCTATGAAATGATAGATAACAGTGCGATCGGTCTGTAGTTGCTAGGTAGGATCTTTTTGCCTTTTTTAGGAACTGGTTGTACTCTTGGAGTTTTCCAGTTGGACAGGAATATCCCGAATTTGTAAGAGTAGTTGAACAACTTGCAGGGAACAGGTGGTAGTTCGGGAGCACATTTATTGGGAACAATCAGTGGGATTTCGTCGGAGCCACAAGCTTTGTTGGTGTTGAGACTCAATAAAATCTTCCTTAAAAGTACGTTGGCAAAAAGTGATCTCGGACACATGACTGTCAATTGGCGTTATGTTTGGAGGTTGTTTTCCCGATAAATCCAGAGTGGAATTTCCAGGATATAAATGCGCAAAAATGTTGGCTTTCTCCTGGGCAGTTGTGGCTAGTGTTCCATCTTTCTTGGTTAGAGGAGGAAACGAGCTGGAAGCTTTGGCGAAGTAGTAAAATGAACGTGATCCGTTAGGACATTCAACAAGTTTTGATCTCATTTTGGCATTATGAGCATCCTTTGAAATACAAATTAAAGTACAAATACAAAGACACAAAAAATAAATCCAATATCCAATTCACATCAGCCGCAATGATCGCCATCATCGTCGTATAAAAAGAAAATTAGGTGTGCAAAGGTGTTGAATATCATTGGGGATTTATGAGGTTCATATTTTGATTGAATCTTGAAGTAATTGGACATCGAAGTGTACCGTGTACACGATAACAGGACCTCGTGAAACAGTAATAAAATCGAAATTAGACCTGAAAGAAAATCGAGGCCATAAAATAGTGCGAAATAGAGACCGCGTTCCGGCCATTTAATTCCAGTAAATGCCTGATTCGTCATACCAGATGTTATAACTTTGGGATCCTGTTACAATCCCAACACTGTGGCGTCACAATTCACCACAAAAACTGTTCGATCGCTCCAACAAAGAAGATTGAAATTAATTCAATATTTTCGATAGAATAATTGCCTTCTTTTAACACAAGAAATAATTTAATTTTTCCGAGATGTGGCACCACTATAGGAAAGAACTTAAACACCAAAGAGAAAAAAATGTAAACTCCCTCTAAAGCTAAATCAGTGAATGCGAACTAATATGGGAGCATTAAAGAATAAATTATGTCAATACAGAGTGTTTCAGAGTTGTTGTGGTGACAGAAGCCAATAGGGGAGATTCCGCTCAACAAAATATAAAGAAAAACATCCTGTAACTCATTTGATTGCCAACGTCACCAATTGTCACTGAGAACTGAAAAGTTTCAAGACAGATACGACTTTGCTATTAAAATAACCATTTTTTATGTTGAAAACGGGAGCAGATTCGTTTCCGAAACGTCCAAAGATAAGTGAAAATTTGATATATTTTCTATCTACCTTTATTTCTCTTCTCTAAACCTTCTTCAATACAAATTGTCACTGACAAGATTCTTTTAGGCTCTCTGATTGGAAAATTCTTTAAACGCAGTGACATTTTGGGGCAAATCATCTGATTTGTCCTTACTACACGTATATTGAAATAATATTCATATTTTTATTTTATAGAAACGAGGAGACAAAATTCCAAAAAACATTGAATAATGAATCATTATTGATATAATAAACGTTCTAAAAATGTTTTTAGACGAGCGCCGCTGTCTTAGTGAGTCACGTGAGTTTTCAAAGCTTTGTGTCGAGTTCATGTCGCCTAACCGGCTTGTTATGTGAAGCTTTTGCTTGTTAACTAGAAAACATGTTTATTGCCGAGATGGATTTGAATAATATATTGGCACTTCGTTCCTCTCGTCGAGGATTTATTCCGACACCTCGAAGGCGAAGACAAAGAAATTCGAAATGCCGGTCGGAGAGCAGAGTTTCGCCTGTTTATGATGATCGAGGTGTCAAAAGATAATGCGCCGAGTGACCTCAAGTGTCCCACTGCGTTTTGTGAAGTGATTGAAATCGAATGGTTAATCCACAAAGCAGATATCATCACCCTCATCTTCATTATCAACATCGTCTTCTGGGAGAATATTTTTTTTCCTTTTCCAATGCTTGCATGTCATTAAATCTTAAGATAGGCTCAATGTAGAAGGAAGGCACATCATCGCTGCCATATGTTGGAAAAAATTATTGATAATCTGTAGACTATGCAAGTCTCTCTAAACTGTACTTAGTACTGTGGTAAGTGTGGCTAAATAGGATCTAAAGGATGCATCTTGTTAGCTCCTGACAGGTTTGCATCAAACTGCAGGACATCAAATATATCGATGACATTTCCTAGATTCCCTGCCCATGATTCCTCAAGGTTATCATCAGTGCATTCGCCATATCATTAAGGAATTCGTATATTTTACGGTCGAGCATATACTTGTCTTTGAATGAATTGCGTTGTATGTCCATATTTTGGAGTGTTCACCTGACGAGTAGTTCGTGACATGAATGATCGTGGCTGGCGGACTGTACGAGATGAGTGGTGGAATGTCTCAGTTCACCAAATGATTAATTATATACAGGGTATGTTATATAACAATGTCTTTTATTTTGGAGTGTTCGCCTGGTTAGACCGCTACAGCAGATGAAATTGCTCGTTTTCTTGTAGAATTCACTGCAGTATTTCCTCAGAAACCCTCAGAATGTCAAAGTTTCGCCTGTTTATGGTGATCAAGGTGTCAAAAGATAATGCGCCGAGTGACCTGAAGTGTCCCACTGCGTTTTGTGAAGTGATTGATATCGAATAGTTAATTCACAAAGCAGATATCATCACCCTCATCTTCATTATCAACATCGTCTTCTGAGAGAATATTTTTCTCCTTTTCCAAAGGTAATTGAATCTAAAGATAGGTTCAATGTAAAAGGCACATCATCGTTGCGATGTTTGGAAACATTATGTAGACTTTACTGCAACTCCCTAAAAAAAACCCTCGATGGCCAACTGCAGAACTTTGTACTGAGATGAGTGTGGCTAAATAGGACCCAAATGATGCATATTGTTAGCTACTGACAGGTTTGCATCAAACTGCAGGACATCAAATATATCGATGGCATGCCCTAGATACCCTGCCCACGAATCCTCAAGGAAATCGTCAGTGTATTCGCCATATCATTAAGAAATTCGTATATTTTTCGGTCGAGCATATACTTGTCTTTGAATGAATTGCGTTGTATGTCCATATTTTGGAGTGTTCACCTGACGAGTAGTTCGTGACATGAATGATCGTGGCTGGCGGACTGTACGAGATGAGTGGTGGAATGTCTCAGTTCACCAAATGATTAATTATATACAGGGTATTCACAAAGTGTTCCACAGGGTATGTTATAAAACAATGTCTTTTATTTTGGAGTGTTCACCTGGGGAAACCGCTACAGCAGATGAAATTGCTCGTTTTCTTGTAGAATTCACTGCAGTTTCTCCTCAGAAACACCTAGAATGGCAAAGTTTCGCCTGTTTATGGTGATCGAGGTGTCAAAAGATGATGCGCCGAGTGACCTGAAGTGTCCCACTGCGTTTTGTGAAGTGATTGATATCGAATAGTTAATTCACAAAGCAGATATCATCACCCTCATCTTCATTATCAACATCATCTTTCGAGAGAATATTTTTCTCCTTTTCCAATGGTCATCAAATCTGAAGATCGGTTCAATGTTGAAGGCACATCATCGCTGCCATATGTTGGAAAACATTATTGATAATCTGTAGACTATACAAGTCTCTCTAAATAAAACTGCAGTACTCAGTACTGTGGTAAGTGTGACTAAATATGATCTAAATGATGCATCTTGTTAGCTCCTGACAGGTTTGAATGAAACGGCAGGACATCAAATATATCGATAACATGCCCTCGATTTCCTGCCCATGTTTCCCCATAATTATCATCAGTGTATTCACCATATCATTAAGGAATTTGTATATTTTACGGTCGAACATAAATATACTTGTCTTTGAATGAATTGCGTTGTTTGTCCATATTTTGGAGTGTTCACCTGACGAGTAGTTCGTGACATGAATGATCGTGGCTGGCGGACTGTACGAGATGAGTGGTGGAATGTCTCAGTTCACCAAATGATTATTACAATACAGAGTATTCCACAGGGTATGTTATATAACAATATCTATTGTTTTGGAGTGCTTACCTGAAGAAGTCGCTGCGGCAGAAGAGCTTGCTCTCCCTGGAAAAGCACTTGTCGGTCAATGGCGCCTGGCAATCGAAGCATCGGACGCAGTCGGCGTGCCACGTCCTATCCAATACGTTCAGCAGGAATTTGTCCAGGATGGGCTTGTCGCAGCCAGCGCACGCTATCAGCATACCGGCGGCTGGCTCGCACCTACCTGCAACCCGAAAAAAAAAATTAAATAATGCGTAGCGGAGGGCAAATTTGGAATACGAATGCGAGAACTAGAATTGTAAAGGAAAATCGCGTACCATTTTGACTATATACATTCGATACTGTTCCTGTAGTTTGAACCAAGAATCAACATTTCAGAACCATTACCAAACTGGTTTATAAACCGTTCTTGATTCACTCAACAAAACTATTCCAATATTATAAATAGCTCTGATATTTCACACCTTTAGACACCCCCCTATCGGAAGTTCTCAATAAAAGCAATATTTTGTCCAGCAATGGTGAATAGGTGAAGAATTACAAAAATATTTTGAAATGAAGGCCCAGTAATTTGTCGTAACGTGGCTAATTTTGTATTGGTATCATTTTACACCCCGTGTCAGTTTAGGTCTGCCAAATTCTTCTCTCGATTCTTCTTGTTGGAAATAACATACAGTATTTTGTCTCTATATGCATTTCCAATCTCCATCGCATGTATATATTATTATTATGAAGTAACGTCATGTCAGATTGAATAAAAGAAAAGTCATTGAAAGTTTTCAGAAGGTTCCCTTCATTATACGTTTTCCATCCCAAATACAACACTTCTCATTATTGTAGTTGTCCTATATAAGTTGATAGAGTTTCATCTGATATTGAAAACCTAATCTATCGCCGTATCGGTAAATCCCTTCCGAGATCCCTTCAGAAAATACAAATTGTTGGAAAAAGGTGCAAAGGTGAGTAAGTACAATTCATTTTGTTCCTATTTCCAAAACACTTCACTTATATTTGCTGTTGGATGGAATGGCTTATTGAGCCTTAAAAAGTTTCACTATGGTTATTAGATCATTCAATTTTGTTATTACACAAGCTATAATACTAAATTTTAAGTCTTATCATTTGTGAAGATTGTTACATTCCAATACGACTGTGTTCAGCCTGTTCACAAGTTTGTACAGTTATTGAGATAATTTTTTTTGTTGAAGAAAGGCAACTAATCGGATAATAACTATGAAATCAAGGTGAAACTAAGACACTGAACCGAAAACAAAAGTGGAACAACTGTTATTCAAAACAAAATATAAATATAATAATAGCCATTCTAAACAAATCCAGAGGTCAGTTGATAGTTATCGACAGAGTTTTTCTGACAAAAATAAGTAGACTGGAAAGGAAAAATTCACTTTTTCAAACATAAGTATATTATCTTTTTATACGAAATTGTTATAGTTGATGTATTACATGTCTTGGTATTATACCTATAATTTGATAACCACAACAAATTGAGAGAAATGAACATATTATGCAAAATCACATATTCTTATACCTCGAACATTGCCAAATCTAATTGGTAATCTAAAACCTAATCTATATATTCGCGGAGGTATTTTTTTTCTAGCAATTCGCCTTAAGAAAAAAGGTGCTGAAAACAATTTTGGAATTTCCCACGCAGCTTTCTCAATAACGAAATCTGTATTAGACATGGTATAAAACCGAAAACTATTCATCAATGCATGCACCTTGATTGATGTAATTAAATAATTTAACTAATTACTATTAGTTTATTCATTGTGCTTATATAGGTACACGTTTTTGTTTGTGATATGATATAAAACTATATAATGCGTAATCTGTATAGTTGATTATGTAAATAGGCGGGAACTCTCAAAATCATGGATATGCTGGAAACTCATGATTAATCCAAGAAAGAAGAATAATACGTTGGCAAAAAGGATGATTAAGAATCTTATCGAAACTTTATCTGATTGTTGTACTTTCAACACGTTCCCCCTATTATTTTTGCAGGATTTTTTGTTGTATATAGAAAAATACACTCTTAGAGTTCATGCTGATGGTATAAACGCTGCAGCAGTTGCATTTTGGAACAGATCGCTCCAAAACCGAAGATGGAACTGAATATGAGTCTATACGGGCTTCCTAAGCCTTGACAAATTCTCTAACATATTATTATTCAAGGCGGAAGTTCACGCTATAGGGAAATGTTAACAATTCAATCTAGAAAAAAGCTATGAAAGACGAGATATCATTTGATCATGTTCGATGGTCAAGCCCTGAGCTCGCCCAGGTAGAACATCTTATATTGGCTAGAACTTGGTTTAACATTAGCCCACATTAGCCCACATCATAGCCCTCAATATTGAATCAATATCATCATAATAATAATTCTCCTATATTTTGTTCGATTTGTTCATTGAATATTACGAACATTATTATCCCATCCACTGAAGAGCTTTTGTCTGCGCCTCCTAACTCCATGTAACCAATCTTATATTAGGGCTACCAGATGAAAATATAATTACACTAGAATCAGTCGTCGAGATCAACATCGCGGAATAAAAGACATAGGTACATTGGAAAGTATGAGACTGTGTCCGATGTTTTATTTAAATGGCCGCTTTGTGTGGCTCTTCATGCAAAGAATAACCTCATCACTTATGCATTCAGGTTAGGTTATACGGTATTTAAATAAGCGTAGGCTTTGACAAGTTGTTCGAGACATTCGTTTTAGGCTCTTGTTGGTATGTTCAAGGGATGGGATCTCTTTAATATTGATAAGGGATACAGGATAAGTTGAAATAAAAAGAATATAGAGCAATCAAAATATTGATAATGAAAATTTATCACGCATGAACTTTACAAGAGCTCTAGAACTCGCTCTAGAAGTTTCCAATTTCTGAAGTTTTTTCTTGATCTGATGCAGTTTAGAAAAATACCTATACAACCTGTCAATAATACTGTCAGCCATATTTATTATTCTTTGTATTTATATTTCTGTCTCCTTACATTTTCATGTCTGAGTGTCTTTGTGTCTGAGTTTGTGTCTACTTTTATTTTATCGATTGAAGCGAAACAAAAAAGTTGTTTTCCACAATGACTTACAACCTTTATAAGACGTGATTATCTGTTGTTTTATCGACGATAGTAGTCGATGGACTGCCTTTTTTACTCGGTTGGCTCAATTGAAGAAAAAAAATTGTTCAAGTGTAAAGTCCCTGTTACGCGTTGTAAATCACAGCATTGACATTGATTACCAAACATTTTGAGCGATAAATTATGTTTTACTACGGCTCTAAAAGTCCGCAAGTATTTGAAATGTACTTAAATTCGAACAGAGCAAGTGTTCTAAAGCGTAGAAAAACTTGATGATTGTATATATAGAGCAACTTACATTAACTCATGTCTGACCATGACTCAAATTATTCCACAAACAAACAATAAATGTGATGAGTTTCAACAGTTTTTGGTCATCCAAAAAGTTCTTATATTCTTATATGGATGCATTTTAATAATTATGCAAAATATAGGTATTTTCCAATGGGTGCAAATCATAAACCATTCCTAATGCAATCTGTTAACAATTCAGGCATTCTTTGATCGATAGAACACCTGCATTTCGAAACTTTTTTTATTTGAGTTAGCAGAGAAATTAGAGCAGCAGCGACTAGTTCTCTGAAAAAACAATACAAGTACGATATTTCTTCCGTCACAATTATCATTAATCATGTTGAAGTGAAACTAACAATATTCCACAGCAGTAAAAATAAATTTCGCTCACTTTGAAAGACGTTAATTTTTTTATTTTCTCGAACGTTATCCATCCGCGACTATGGTTTGTGAACGTTGGACTTCTTTTTTTTTTGGAATCTCATGAACCGTCAACAGCTCTGCTTCGTTGCACTGAGCATTAAAAGTATGACAAATTCTAAATGAAGGATTTTCACGCTATTGACACAAATGTTAAAATCATTGCCACGTTTGTTATGAACCTTAAAACCGATTGGCTTCGGTGCATTCAAATAGAATGCGTATAAAATAAATAAAATAGAATATATATATGGGTTCCTATAAAGCAATGTTCCACTCCTATTACTGATTTCTTTCACAATTGCATTCTGTACAAATGCCTCTTCTTCAAAGAATATATACTTATATAATTATAATATGGAGTGAAACCATTATATATATACCTTTCATCACCCAATTTATGTATGTCTTTTATTCCTCAGAGACACCTCGAACTCGCTTTTCTACCTGAACAAAATTAATAACATTTAAGTTTTGGAATTTGGAAATTGAAAAAAAAAAAATATGGGGCACTTCCGGTTGTACCTTATGATGTCGGCGATTGAAATTTTGTTGTAAATATTTGACGAGCATAGCACTGATGATCATAAATACCTGCATCATCATCTGCTTTCGAATTTATGCAAAATAAAATATCAAAAGGATTTCTCACTAGGGCATGTATATTCCTTTTTTATATTTTCCAACTACCTGATATAACTTCACAACCACTGTACAAAGTTTGAAAATATTGACTATGATGCATCAAGAGACAAAGATGATAAGGGTAACTATACTATTTGAATCATTATGGCGCCGAGCCGAGTGGAACAATGAAAGAATGAAACAACCTTCCTCGCCTAACTCATGTATAAGTATGTTATTTGAATTCCATGAGATATTTCAGTTGAATTTCCGAACTTTATTTGTACCTACATTTGAGGATAAAAAATAATCGTCCTATATAGCTACTTGAATCAAATTGAAATATAAACTTCTCAGTATACCTATGGATGCCTATACATTGCAATCTTGTCTCAAACGAATTCAACAATAATTTGTGTGTATCTCATCAGTAGTTCTACATTTGATTCATTTTTGAGATTGGTATTGCTGACATATAATGTTAGATATATGTTTCAGCTTCCAAGCTAGATAATCTTAAGAAAAATTCACTGCATCATATAGATATTCAGTAGTTCAAATAGGTATCTCATGATAATGTGTGTACATCATTTTATTAGTCAAGACTAGATCATCAGAATAGATAATTGCTAATTGGAAATTTATTCACATTCAAATGAATCCAGAGGTGGATATTCATTCAGAATTGTCAAATTTATATAAGAATATCGATTGATAAATATCATTTATACAAGTTGAAGAATTGCATAAAGGAACTTCACATTATAAGTATAACTATTTGTAGGTATAAATATTTGAGAACTGATATATAGGGTCTACCATGCAAGGTTTTTTTTTGTTTTTTTTTTGATGGAGCAGAAGTGGTGGTCTATGGCAACTTCTTATTATTATTATTGAATTCTCATGATGGATATCAACAATTATTAATTACATAACGATGACTTCTTTTTAGTTAGACATAATGTTCTGCCAGACCCTATTTGTGTAATTCTTTTTGCTATCCATGATAATGAATTAGAACTCAATCCGAATGGTAACCGATAGTGAGCATTCTGTATAATGCACCTATATATATTTCTTGAGATAGGCGAATTTCTATTAATTCTCAAAGAAAAATTGATGGAGAGATGATATAATATATAAATATATAAAATAATTGTAATCAAGTATAAACATGATACATCTTCAATGTATTGATGCGAATGTATATGTGCACCAATGACAAGAGTATAGAATTTCTTGTAGAATGAACACTCAGTTATTCTAGCAGCAGATAACTAACCTATATTATGCGTTGAATGTAAATAGCTAGAATTGTAATAGCAGATATAAACATGATACATCTTCAATGTATTAATGCGAATGTATATGTCTGGACACCAATGACAATAGTAGATTTTCTTGTAGAATGAACACTCAGTTATTCTAGCAGTATATAACTAACCTATATTGTGCGTTGAATGTAAATAACTAGAATTGTAATAGCAGATATAAACATGATACATCTTCAATGTATTAATGCGAATGTATATGTCTGGACACCAATGACAATAGTAGATTTTCTTGTAGAATGAACACTCAGTTATTCTAGCAGCATATAACTAACCTATATTGTGCGTTGAATGTAAATAACTAGAATTAGGACCGATGGGCACATGGGTTAACCCGGCCCTTAACGTGAGGGTCCCCACAGGAGCAATCGCGGGACCTCCTTCAAGGTACGCCGCCAGATTGACCAGATTCGCACTCCACACACTCAAATCACTTGATGAATCCTTGCACTCAGCCGCAGGAACAGTCCAAAAAGGAACCGCCGCGTGGTACCAACTTGAACTACGCCCGGTATGACAGGTACCTGATGCACACGTCAGAATTGGTTCCGATGTTTCGACCGCACTCCTCAGAACCTTTTTGACAGCGACCAGTGTCAGAGATAGTGTCAACGTGGTGACGTGTTGAGATCGACTGATTTCCTCCTGAAAGAGATCCAGTTACCCCTACTTTCATCGATTTTCGCGTTTGGCCCCCACTACTTTTTTGACAGGCCGAGACCAATGTGAACGCGTAGCTCCTCCCAGTGCTAAGCCCCTCCTTTACCTGGTAGCCATCAGTTGCGATCTTTATCGTTTGCGCTTTAGCTTCTCGTTTCTATGTTACGTGAGGAGAAAGGCGATTGTCGTATGTTGGGGCATCTTGTGACAGGCTACTGTTTTGCATTTTTTTTTTGACGTATACGGTCTGGAGATGTGCACAATCCTGTGCGAGCACTTTTTTGCAGTGATGAGTGGTGAGGTGTCAGACACTTATTACAAGTTCTGAAAATATGAAACATTTTCTTCTATACAAGTTTTTGATTTGCTATACCTAGACATTTCTCCCTTTCAGTTGGGCATCATGGATGGTTGTGGATTCTGGAACTTCTGGTGTTTTCCAACTTTGCAGTTGGAGATTAGTTTGCTTCCTTTGCTCACAGAACATTTTGATTTTCATTCAACTTTCGTGTTTATAAATTGCATATTTCCATATTTGCTGGTTTCTGTGATAGGTGGCGAGAGCGACGATTGTCGTATGTTGGGGTTTCTTGTAGCAGGCTACTGTTTTGCATTTTTTTGACGTATACGGTCTGGAGATGTGCACAATTCTGTGCGAGCACTTTTTTGCAGTGATTAGTGGTGAGGTGTCAGACACTTATTACAAGTTCTGAAAATATGAAACATTTTCTTCTATACAAGTTTTTGATTTGCTATAGACATTTCTCCCTCTCAGTTCGGCATGGATGGTTGTGGATTCTGGAACTTCTGGTGTTTTCCAACTTTGCAGTTGGAGTTTAGTTTGCTTCCTTTGCTCACAGAACATTTTGATTTTCATTCAATTTTCGTGTTTATAAATTGCACATTTCCATATTTGCTGGTTTCTGTGATAGGAGGCGAGAGCGACGATTGTCGTATGTTGGGGTTTCTTGTAGCAGGCTACTGTTTTGCATTTTTTTTACGTATACGGTCTGGAGATGTGCACAATCCTGTGCGAGCACTTTTTTGCAGCGATGAGTAGTATGGGGTGTCGGACACTTATTACAAGTTCTGAAAATATGAAACATTTTCTTCTATACAAGTTTTTGATTTGCTATAGACATTTCTCCCTTTCAGTTGGGCATGGATGGTTGTGAATTCTGGAACTTCTGGTGTTTTCCAACTTTGCAGTTGGAGATTAGTTTGCTTCCTTTGCTCACAGAACATTTTGATTTTCATTCAACTTTCGTGTTTATAAATTGCACATTTCCATATTTGCTGGTTTCTGTGATAGGTGGCGAGAGCGACGATTGTGGAATGTTGGGGTTTCTTGTAGCAGGCTACTGTTTTGCATTTTTTTGACGTATACGGTCTGGAGATGTGCACAATTCTGTGCGAGCACTTTTTTGCAGTGATGAGTGGTGAGGTGTAAGACACTTATTACAAGTTCTGAAAATATGAAACATTTTCTTCTATACAAGTTTTTGATTTGCTATAGACATTTCTCCCTCTCAGTTCGGCATGGATGGTTGTGGACTCTGGAACTTCTGGTGTTTTTCAACTTTGCAGTTGGAGATTAGTTTGCTTCCTTTGCTCACAGAACATTTTGATTTTCATTCAACTTTCGTATTTATGAATTGCACATTTCGATATTTGCTGGTTTCTGTGATAGGTGGCGAGAGCGACGATTGTCGTATGTTGGGGTTTCTTGTAGCATGCTACTGTTTTGCATTTATTTGACGTATACGGTCTGGAGATGTGCACAATCCTGTGCGAGCACTTTTTTGCAGCGATGAGGCGATGAGTAGTGGGGTGTCGGACACTTATTACAAGTTCTGAAAATATGAAACATTTCCTTCCATACAAGTTTTTGATTTGCTATTGACATTTCTTCCTTTCAGTTCGGCATGGATGGTTGTGAATTCTGGAACTTCTGGTGCTTTCCAACTCTGCAGTTGGAGATTAGTTCGCTTCCTTTGCTCACAGAACATTTTGATTTTCATTCAACTTTCGTGTTTATAAATTGCATATTTCCATATTTGCTGGTTTCTGTGATAGGTGGCGAAAGCGACGATTGTCGTATGTTGGGGTTTCTTGTCTACTGTTTTGCATTTTTTTGACGAATACGGTTTGGAGATGTGCACAATCCTGTGCGAGTACTTTTTTGCAGCGACTAGTAGTGAGGTGTCGGACACTTATTACAAATTCCGAAAATATAAAACATTTTCTTCTATAGTTTTTGATTTGCTATAGACATTTCTTCCTTTCAGTTCGGCATGGATGGTTGTGGATTCTGGAACTTCTGGTGTTTTCCAACTTTGCAGTTGGAGATTAGTTTGCTTCCTTTGCTCACAGAACATTTTGATTTTCATTCAACTTTCGTGTTTATAAATTGCATATTTCCATATTTGCTGGGTTCTGTGATAGGTGACGAAAGCGACGATTGTCGGTTGGGGTTTCTTGTAGCAGGCTACTGTTTTGCATTTTTTTTGACGTATACGGTCTGGAGATGTGCACAAATGTGCGAGCACTTTTTTGCAGTGATGAGTGGTGAGGTGTCAGACACGTATTACAAGTTCTGAAAATATGAAACATTTTCTTCTATACAAGTTTTTGATTTGCTATAGACATTTCTCCCTTTCAGTCGGGCATGGATGGTTGTGGATTCTAGACCTTCTGGTGTTTTCCAACTTTGCAGTTGGAGATTAGTTTGCTTCCTTTGCTCACAGAACATTTTGATTTTCATTCAACTTTCGTGTTTATAAATTGCATATTTCCATATTTGCTGGTTTCTGTGATATAGGTGGCGAGAGCGACGATTTTCGTATACCTATATATGTTGGGGTTTCTTGTAGCAGGTTACTGATTTTCTATATTTCTGACGTAGGTATATGGTCTGGAGTTGTGTCTCTCTAATTATCACTTCAATAATGGATATATTAACTATTTCTCAGGTTCTTTCTATTCTATGAATACATTTTCGTAAACATAGAATAGAGAATACTGATTTCGAATGAAAAAGTTTATATAGATCACATAAAATCCTTGATATGTAAAGTTTCGAACAAAAAATAGAATGAGCCTTTCCTTAGTCCGTCTACTTCTTCAACACAAATAACATTGTGGAAAACTTCTTTTCTCTTCATGTAAGTTGGAAAAGTCTAATCCAACCTAAAAAAACATATATATAGGTAGGTATGTACATGATATTTTTTGCCATAAAATTGTTGCATCTTTAGCAAGACAAATCCATCTGAGTGTTGATGAATGGTGGCCAACTTCGCAAAATATCTACAGTATCATTCACTTCATTTGCAATTTCCATTCTCCGTAATTTGGATGTTCTCTTCAATTTATCCTCCATGACATTCAATGGCCTGTTATTTGAATGTAACCACAGTTTATCATCTACTTACTGCAAGATATTTGTAGAATCGAAATATTTAAATATTGAATTGATTGAATTCATGAATGATATATACTACATACTCACCATCCTCATGATGATTATTGATTAGGGAGACTACATCAGTGGTACTCTTTGATGCATGGGTGGAGAGAATTCCAAATTTTCTCAATCTTTTCGAATGGTTCTGGTATACTTGTCATAAACAACCTTCATGAGGATATTTCCACTTATTTTGTAGTAAATGATCTGAAAATTGAGGAGAGTCCTGATGAGAAAAAGAGTCAACATATTCATTCGGTATGAATATTTGAACTGTATATAGCATTAATTTCATACAGTGTGTTAGATCATTACCAAATTTAGTACTAAATTACAACTCGACGATATTGAATACACCGATTACCTAATCGACTTACCAACATTTAACAAAATGATAAGGGCACAATACAATGAGAACCAAATGAGACGCCAGTAACAAAATCTCATGTGGTCGACATTTCTCCCTCTCAGTCCGGCATGAATGGTTGTGGATTCTGGAACTTCGATGGAGTTCTTTTGCTCGAGGAACGTGTTGTTGATTTTCATTTCAGAATTGCACTATCTGGGCCTATCCAACTATCATCTGATGAGGATGTTGAAGATCAATGTCATTTCAATATGGTAGTTTCATTCACCTTTGATGTTTTCCACAATTCGTTTTTCTGCTTCTCAGTGATGTAGAGATAGATAGAATATTCATACCTAATCTGTCCCAGCTAAAACTTGTCATTCCTCTATTTATAAGTATCCGGGGTCGTAAGAAAAATTGAAAATCGGTCAGATCCGTCGATTTTCATTTCAAGGGGAAACTCTACTACTTCAGAATCTTCATACTTGTCATACCTATATAGGTACATATAATTTTGAAGGGAATGCAATCCCAAATTCGACAACGGAGTAATGTAATTGTGTTGTGAAAGTTTCCAACATTAATTTGTATGATATACTTAAACTCCGGGAATTCAAAACCGTCCACAAAAAAACTGACGGTGATAAATCAGGAAATCTTAGTAGGATATTTGATACACTGATCATTGAATGTTTGGGCTGGGATTCTGGTATATATAGTCCATATTTTATTGATGCATGGTATAGTATAGTATAACCAACCCCATCAACGGATAAACGTATATCTTGAACTTCTTGATGCAACTATCTGTACTTGAAGGTCAGCTCACCTTTCAACAAGATGAAGTTCCTCCACATTATATGTTGCTGTTTTAGTTTTACGCAAACTTTCACATGACAATTTGACAGGGATATGGATTGGAAGGCGAGGACCAATAAAATGGTCTTCTAGATCTCCTGATCAATGATTATGAGACTTCTTTATATATATAGGGACATTCAAAATCCAAAGTGTCGTACACTGACTCCTGAAATGTTAAGATATGTGATGCGAAGACATTTCCAATATCTCTTATACTCCTGTATGGAACTGGATGGTTTACATTGTGAACCTGTCATTCAATGATATATAACATCTCTGATAATGAGAAATAAAAAAATAACATCTTGA